TTTGAGACAGAGTCTCACTATGTTGCCCTGCGTAGAGTGCCTTGGTGCCACAGCTCACAGCAACCTCAAGATCTTGGGCTTAAGCAATTCTTTTGCCTCAGCCTCCCGAGTAGCTGGGACTACAGGCTCCTGCCACAGTGCCCTGCTACTTTTTGGTTAGGGTTATCATTGTTGTTTATCAAGCCCAGGCTGGATTCAAACCCACCAGCTCCAGTGTATGTGGCTGGTGCCTTAGCCACTGAGCTATAGACGCCGAGCCAAGTGTTGATTACTTTTAATGTATGCTGAGTTATCGATATCTTTGGTATCAATTTTTTTTTTGCTGTATTTTGTAAATTTTGATATATTATGTTTTTCATGTTTTTTTTTTAAATCAACATGTCTTTTTATTCCCCTTGTAGTTTATTTATAAAATTGGTTTTCTTAATGCAGGGTGTTCATAAAGTTCAGGTGGAATTTAAAACAGTTTTATATTGTAAATTGCACATGAACTTTATGGGCACTCTGTATAAATGTGTTGATTCATTTGTTAATGTTCTTATTTTGTTTCTATAAGTGTCTAGTTTTCTTCCATTATGATGAGATTGATTAATCATAATTATCTCAATCTTTTTCAATTGTTAAAAAAAGCTTGTTCTGTGGACATTTCAAAATGAACTTTAATTCTGCTGTTGTTAAGTAGTATGTTCTCTGTAGTCTGTTTTGCCCTGGTGGTCTACAGAGGGCTGTTGAGTCTTTTGTTTACTTCTACTTCTATATAGTTTGAAAATCTGTTACTGAAGTCTACCACTATGTTCTGGATGTGTCTGTTTCTCCTCGAATTTTACTAATTGTCCATTCTAAGGAGCTCTGATGTTTGGTTCCTATATATTTATAATGGTTATATTTCTGCTGAATTGATCCTTTCATCATGGTCTAATAATCTTGGTCTCTTATAACAATTTTGTGTAAACATCTAAGCTCTCTGCTGTGAGATCAGTCACCTCGGCTCTGTGCCGGTTATCATTTGCATGGAATGTCTTTTTGTATCCTTTTCATTTTTAGGCTGTGTATGGTCCTGATAGTTCAAGGGAGTCTCTTCGGAACTCAATTTACTTGGATCCTATTTTCCTCTGATTGCAAAGTTAAATTGTTTAAAGATATAGGTTAGTGAGGTGGGTAAATTATTCGAGCTGAGGAGTTAGAGACCAGCCTGAGCAAGAGCAAGACCATGGCTCTACTAAAAATGGAAAAACTAGCTGGGTGTTACTGTAGCAGGAGCCTGTAGTCCCAGTTGGGGATGCTGAAACAAGAAAATAGCTTGAGCCCAGGAGTTTGAGGTTGCTGTGACCTACTGAAGCCATGACACTCTACCTAGGGCAACAAGAATGATACACCATCTTAAAAAAAAAAGAAAAAAGTAAAGGATATTGATTAGAGGGTGGCCTTACTATTGCCATCTTCCCCCAATTATCTGTATGCAACATCCTCTAGATTTGTCCTTTTTTCTCTCTCTTACTAACTTCTTTTGTGTTTCATTTTATTTTAGTAATGACGTGCTTTAATTCTCACTTAATATATTTTTGTTTTTCATGTGTATTTTACAAAGATTTTTTGCACTTATCATCTCAGATCCATACAATATCATAAATTTATAACATTCTATTTTAAATGTTAACATCAGTTATGCTCATAAAACACTCCTTTTCAACCCTGTTCTCACTTGGTTATTGCTGATAGAAGTTCCTTCTGTATATCTTGTGTTATCATTCATATCTTTGTGTATATATATTAAAATGTAGTATTTAACAATTCTGTCTTTCAAACGTTATGAAAGGATTTGATGTTGAGTTAGACGTGAAAAGTATAATACTGCAGATCTGTATATTTGATCATTTATTAAACTGGAATGGTAAAGTTAATATTTCCTTAAGGGTTAGAGTTACTGTGTAGGCTCCTTTCCTTTACCGCTGAAGGACTCACATTTGCATTTCTGTCCCACCCGATCTATAGTACTGAGGAGTGTTCTCAGCTCTTTGTTTAGGAAAGTTTAAATTTCTCTTAGATTTCTAGAGGAGGATTTCACTAAATATTGTATTCTGGCTTAATAAGTTTTTATTCTTTAAGCACTTTGAATGTATCAGCCCACTGCCTTCTAGCAGGAAGGTTTCTACTGAAAAATGTACATGGTCTTATGTACCTTCCTTGTGTACGACAAGTCTCTATCTTCTTGTTACTTTCATGATTATTCCTTTGTCTCTCATTTCTGATGATGTGTTTATAATATATCTCTTTGTGAGTGTCCTTGCATACTTCAGGTTAAAACAGTGAAGATTCTAGAATTTGTATATCCAGTTCTTTCCTCAAATTTGGGAACATTTTAGACATTATTTCTCCAGATGTGATTTCCAGTCCTGTGTCTCTTTATGAAAATCCTATAGATTGTATGTTGTTCCATAGGATGGTATCCCCAAAGTCTATAGGGGCTTGTTTGTTTTTCTCTTTTTGTTATTCCTTTTATTAAGTCATGTACACATAGATCATGAATACATTTATGTATTTGTGGGGTACAGTGTGTTGATTTTTTTATACAATTTGGAATGCTTACATCAAACTAATTAATATAGCTTTCACCTCATTTACTTAATTATTATGTTAAGACGTTTATGCTCTACCCTTGGTA